ATCATATTGTAATTAATTTAATTGAATTGTGTAGCTTATTGATCTCGATCATATTGGGGATTTGATTAGTCTTGTACATTAAACTCATAATGTTCTCAATTGTATTTTTGAACATCATACATTTGAGCATGTTGTTCGTTTTTCTTAAGCAATGTAATAATATTTTTTGGATATTTATGTTCAACTCATAACATGTATTTTGCTTTCATATCTCTTCCCACAAATCAATATTTAGTTTTTTCAAACGTTTTTTTAACTAAGACACATATAGGTAATGTTCGTGCTCTTTTGATAATAGAATTCATGGACTTAGCAAGATTTCTTGTCATGTGTTCATTTCGTTTGTCTCTATTATAAGCTTGGTCCGTTTTTTCAATAGAATCTCATCTAACCAGCAAATTTATTATTTGAACTCAAACCTTAAAAAATATACTTTTGCTAAAAGTATTGGTTGTTTCATCTCATATTCTACAAAGAAAATATAATTTCATAGACATGTTATTTAAATAAATGATATTTAAGATTAAAAGATATTACCTATATTGATGACTTGTTTTTTCAAATCAATATTTTTGAATTTTTTTGTTGCAGTTTGAGATAATATGATGAATATAGTACATTGGGATTAGATAATTTCAATTATGATCATTCGAATGTAATATCGACAATATTCGTGTCCATTTGTTTGTATCATGCATAAATTATTTTGAAATGTAACATAATGTTTAGAAGTTGAAAAAATTATATCAATGTCTCTTTTGTCTCACTTTCGACATTGCAAATGCGAGTAAAAATATGTTTTTATTGTCACCTTGTACAGTTGCAATCAATAATTTAGCATGATAAAAAATTTTAGGAATGTGCTGTCAACTTGAATAATTGACTTACAATATTTGAAACCTTTTATACATGGCTTAAATAATAAAAAAAATACACTTTAATATAGATTATGGACTATGCTCACCATCCACTAAATAAGGTGAAAAGACATACTAAACAGTTTGTGACCACCTTTGAAGATCATAGTCATCCTTTTTTGTAAGTGACTAGATAACCATATTTGTCTTTTACTTATGCAATCAAAGTTTTGTTAGGTATTTTCGAGGGGGGTTAACAATAAGGAGATTCTCACAAATGGGATATGAGTCAATCATATAAGAAAATATGACATCACTTTCAACCCAAAACCTTAAGGCATTAAGGTTATGGGTCTTTCTCACTTATAAGTTACTCAACTTTTTCCATTTCTACCTAATGTGGGACTTCAATTCACACTTAAATTCTCAATTATCTCTCCCTCAAGTGTAATTCCCATTCACATTGGTATACCACCTCCTCGAGCAAAAACATTTAGTAGTGACCTTACTTGTACAACCGTTCAATTTAACGGGACTCGCTTGCCTAAAATCTTGTTAGGAAGACTCTCGACACAAAGACCTTTCACCTGCTCTAATCATACTCAATTGAGTCGGTTACTGAACAAATCATCAATTCTGATACTATTATTAGGTAATTTCGAAGGAGACAAACAATAGGAAAGTTCTCACAAATGGGACGCGAGTGAAAATCTTAAGACATTAGATTATGGATCTTTTTCACTTGTAAATTACTCAACTTTTCCATTTTTATCCAACGTGAGATTTTAAACACACTTCAATTCTCAACAAGTTTTGATAAGAACATAGGCATGTGTTTTAACTAATTTCATAAATAATATTAGCAATGACGGTAAAGTCTAAGCTTTGATATGGATATAACATTATACTCAAATATGTATGAGACGCTTCAATTTTCTTAATCTCACATTGGTTATATGAATCTTACTCGAATGAAGCACGAATCTTCCACTCGACACTCTTATCATAATTTATACAACAAACAATATATTTTTCAGATTTCAACTCAACAATAAAAATTTTGTATCAATAATCAATATAAAATTGTTTCATTACACTTATTATTGCTCATTTTGACTGAAAACACTAACCTTCCCATATGTTGTTTTGAATTATATCAATTAATATATTAGACGATTGTCTAGCATGTAGCAAGAGGAATAACACTAACATGTTGGTCAATCTAGTCATGCTTATGTTGATCAGCCAATTGATCAACATATTGCTCAATCAAGTGGTCAATATATTGATCAGTTGAGTCATCAACATGCTGGTTAAACTATAATAAACAACCTTGTCCATTTTTCTAATATGTTCATCAACTGCAAAATTTACCTTATAAATTTTAAGTTAAAAATTAGGTTTCTCATATATTTACTTTGTTTTCCTCTAAAACAAATATGTTTTTCACATCTTTGATGACACTATCATCAACATACAATCAAGTTCATTTTATGTCTACTATCCCCAAGATTATTATTATGTAATATGCAAATGAAGATAAAAATATTAATAATAATAGAAAAACAAATATTTAACCCCAACCAGTACATAAACGTATGCGTGTTATACAAACACAACAAACGTCTACCTACTATCAATCCCATAGACCAAAATAACAAATTAAAAGGTCACCTTATAAAAGAAAATCTCACCATTAAATTTTTTGTAACTTGTTTTCTATAATAATATATGTAATTTTTTTATGTAACGTAAATTTACTAATTTAGATTTATTCATGTTCATACTTCTCTTAAAATTTTTATTTTTTTAAATTAATAATTAAATCAAAATTATTTAATTTAAAAACAATCTATTTATGTAGAAAAATCGAATATTTATATTTAAAAATATTACACTGAAATTGTACTAACTTTAATAAAAACAAAAAATTAAACGTATATTACCTAACACAATTAAAGAAAAAAGAAAAAACATCTCAACTGAAAACTTGCTAGCATGATTTCAATATATGCCCAGTTAAGTCGTCACGGTCTCTTTTCGTTAAAATTATATTTGCAAATATAATTTCATCCAATTTAGTAAAAAAATTTAAAGCACAACCTATCACATAATTTACGAATAACCCATTAACATAAAAAAAAAAAAAAAAAAAAAACTACCTTTCACAATAATTGTCACAATTCACAGCCAACTACTTTAAATTATGATGGGATTAGAATCTTAGAAAGCACCCTTAATTCTATTTTATCTAATAATTGCAAAATACTATAACATACCATAATATACTATATTTCAACTAAATGGAAAAGGATACATGCATGCATGTATGTAAATTTTTTCATGTCTTTTATAATTTTTTTTATATTATTTCTCATCTCTACCTTTTACTAACATGAACGGCATTTAAAATATGTTAATATAGAGAAAAAAATCTAAATTAAATATAATTTTTTACAAAAAATCAAGGTGAAAGTAAATTATTGATAACCAAATGTAAACTGTAAAAAAAATATTAAAAAAAATACACATGTTAATTCTAATCAATAATTTGTGTCATTTAGTGAATAAGTTATCATCTAATACCATGAATGTGAATTTAAGGTAGAGACCAGAAGAAAATTTAAAAAAATTATTAACAGCACAAGCAAAATTCGAATTTATAACACGCACTAAATTAGCCTCTATTAATATAATTTTCATCGGATAAAAATCAAACTGGGTATATAAATATCGAGTTTAAATTAATAAAATAATACTAATTAATAAATAATTATATCATATCGGGATAAAATCATAATATTTGTATATTAGTAAGTTTTTTTAATTGCAATTAACTTTTCATTTCATTTTTTAACTTCTATATCTGTAGAACATTGAGATTAACAAAAATAATGACTGGTGAAACACTCCCATTTTAAACCGATTCAACCGATTCAACCAAGAAGCTTGAACCAGACATAATGGGTTTAAACATTAGAATATACAAATACTTGAAAAAAAGGGCCTTAACCCATATACTCACAGAAGGAAACAGTGGATGATAAGCCTAGCATTTAGAACCACTTTCCATGAATTTTAAGGGATCGTTGTCCAAGTTATAGGGGGCTATTGGCAATAATCCCAAATTGCTGTTACTTTTGACATCTCCATCTTTAGCTAGCAGCTATACCAGAGAAGATTGATTTCACAACATCACCATCAAATCAAACTAATATATACCTAACTCCATTTCACCAATTCCTCACTTCTTTATTTACACAATCAACGCCAATAGCTTCTTCCACTTACTCTACCTAGGAACTATTGCTTTAACTTCAATATTATATTACATTCATTATTTTGAACCCCAACTTACTTGCCATAACAGCCTTATTAATTCTTAATCCATGCAATGGATGAGAGGGAAAAGAAACGCAGAAAGGGTGTTAATTATAATTTGTGTCTCATTAGAAGAAAAGAAAAACCCTCCTCTGTAAGTAACTTTTAGCTAAAATACAAAAAATAAACCACATTGGCAGCACCAGCAACGTCTTACTTTAAAAGTACAGGAGCAAGTGCAGTGCAACCATCCATATATTTTCATCTGAAAACACAGACATTCACATACACACATGTATATGTAATTAAGGCTACACTTACTCCCAATAAAAGTACAGCAATTGATCCTGTAAAACTTTAATCTTTCTCACAAGGGCTTTGGGAAATCTCCGAAAATGGGATAGAGATTTTCTCCATTAAAATGATGAGAGTGTTCATTAAATACAGTTCACCTATTCATGATTTTATAGATACCAGAGAATGTGGCACTGTAGAGAATCAGAAACCCCGAAAATGTCCATTAATTCGAACACCAAAAATAGGCATAAAACATATCCTAGTTTGGTATATATTCTATTTCCTCGAACACGGGAAGGCAGAACAAATACGAAAAGATCTTGCATTTAAGAAGACGACGGAAACACGTCTGCAAGGCATATATGTAGAACCTTAAAGTTGCCAAAAATAAACATGAAACAGGTACAAGTTTGAGGGAGAAGAAATAAAGAAAAACAAAAGGATGATGATACAGCATATATATGCATGTGAGGGCATGCCATGGTGGATGATATTAATTATATAATTGGTTTGAATGTGATGATGCTAAGTGGCAGTAGCAGTGGCATTGGGAGAAGTGGTAACAGAAGGTGCATTAGAGATGTTGGACTTTGGTCTCTTTCTCTTCTTCTCGTAGCTAACTCCTCTCGCCTTCGCCTGAAAGTCACGAACATCATGCAAGTACAGCCTCACCACGCGGGTGCCAAAGGGGTTGCTTTCGGCTCTCCCGCCGTTCTCCTCGTAGGCGGCGCGGAGGCGGCCGATGAGGGCGTCGAGGCTGCCCCACGCCTGCCGGAGCGGGCAGGGGCACGGTGCCGGAGGGTTCGGCAGCCCGAAGAACGGGCACGTCGGGTTATGCACCTTCGTCTTCCCGAATTGGTCCAGGTAGTGCAGGAACTCCAGCACGTGCGCCCCGCTGCACAGCGCAGCCGACAGCGGCGGCCGGTGGTTCCGCAGGTACTGACTGAACGTGTTCCAGTCTCGCCGCTTCTGGTTCTCGTACCTACTCGGAGTACTGCTACCACCGCCTCCACCACCACTGCTGGTGCTGCTTGTAGTTGTTGTTGTTATTGGGGATGACACGCTCTCCATTGCAAAGATCTGATGCTTGGTGATTTGGATTTGAGTGGGATCTTGTGGATGGTGAGGTTGATTTTGTGGTGGTAGGTTGAAGTAGAAGGATCCAGCACAGCAACCAAGGTGCTACATAAACATATATGTGTATCTAGAAATGAAGTTGTACTGAGGAGGAGCAGCTAGGGTTTTTGTATTGTGCAAGAGGGTGTATACATATGATGGATAGGAAGAAAGATTGTTGGTGTTGTTGGATATAGAAGCTAAGCAGTGAGATGGAAGGAAAAACAGTGCATGTTATTTATATATTAATTTGAGTAACATGGTATGAAGATGAGAGAGGAGGAGGAGGAAGGAATTGTTTTGGTTTGTGAAAGAGGGGAGTGGGTGGGTGGGTAGGTAGCAGTAGCAGTGGATGGAAGTAGGGTGATGATTGATGTGGGAATGGCAGAAAAGGGGGTAAAAATTGATGAGGCAATCAGAGATTTGTTTTCCAGAAAAGCTGAAGCAAAGTAGGAGTTGTGGAATAGCTGAAGCGTGAGGAAGAAGAGGGTTTACATGTGAAGATGAATGGAAGGAAAGAAGTGTTAAATGAAGAGGAGAAAGGAAGAGGCACTGTTCCCCAAAACAGGACAGAGTTTGGCACTCATTCACATCTAAGCGCGTCACACTACACACTTCACTTTTTCATATTAAAATTAAAATTATATTATTTATTACTAACTCTATTCTCAATTTTTCTATTTAGAAGAGTCTCTCGATTTTTCGTCTATAAAAACTAGGGTTCCTATTCCAACTCATATTTTCGCCTATTTCTTTCTTCCTATTCCACTTTCTCTCCAATCGACACGTGGTTAGCTTCAAGATTAACTTAATCCATGTTTAATTTTTAATACAATATTAATTATTTTATTTCCAATAGATAACAATATTGTATTTATTGAAAAATAAGATATTATGGTATTTTAATCCTTAATTTAAAATGCTGATTACTTTATGCAATTTTCAGTTCATAAAAAGTCACCCTCTTTAATCTCATAACTCTATCGTCTTTAATCCTTTAAAATTAAAAATAAGTTATTAGTATCATGTTTTTTTCTTTATTTATTGTATCATGTCTAAAATAATAAAAGATATCGAACAATTAAAGTAGAAATATATTTATTTATAAAATTTACAGATAAATAAAAAATAAAAAATGTTAAAATTTCATTAAAAAAAAGTAACCATATGGATTTTATAAAATATAGCGACCAAAATTACCATTAAGAATTAAATAAATAAACACACGCTAAATCAAAAGTGTAATTAGGAAAGTGATGGTTCTATAATACGTGATAAGTACAAATAAGTTATGTAAAATAGTGTCGTCTTAGTGGTTATATTTAAAAAAAATCTAATAAAGTTAAAATATTAATTTGATAATTTAAGCTATTTTTAAGCTATGTTAAAAACATTATAATAAATATATTTTAAAAAGTTAGAGTTAAGACGTGGAACTTCCCCAAACTCGGTCACTTATTTTGGTGATTAATGGTGTAAATTAATGTGATAGAAATGTTATTGAAGAATGTAGCATGAGGGTCCATCTACACACACAAAGTCATGAAAAGGACTCTTCTGAAGTTGAAGATGAACCCCAAAACCAAGAATTATCGAAAACTGATTTTTGATAAAACGTCGAATCAGTAAACTAAAACCAAATTCATTGCACCATGTATTAAAAGAGGGCTCATCGCACTCTTTATTTGTAAATATTGTAAAGTTTATTTTTCTTATTGTTAGTGTGAAATCAAGAAATATGATCGATAAACGAATAAAGTGTATGATAACTTTTTCGATGTCCAATTATAAAGAACATAGCACATAAAATCGAAAGGTAGAATCAGAAGGGTAGGAGTAATAGTCGAAGGCTTAACATGGAACAACTTTGAAGTATATGAAGTTAAGGTTAAAATGAATCGATGCCAGGTATGCAAAGTTTTCGATTAAGTCGAAATCGAAGGGAAGGCTCGTCTATGTGGATATCGAAACCCCGGCTAAACCTTGAAGGGAAATAGTCAAAACGCACGTTTGGAAAGTAGTTTCTAAGTTATGGAAGAGGCGAAGATCGTGAGAACGTGGGAAACCGTAAAAGAGGAACTGCCTTATACACGTAGGACGTGGTATCAGTCTTGTTAACTGTTTCTGGAAGACTTGAATGATGCCCTATAAATAGTACAAAAGAGGAAGGAGGGGGGAGCAGAAATTGGCAGAGAACAGGATCAGTAGTGAAAAGTCTACCGGAGAAACGACGAACACCATGAAGTTTCTGGCAATCTGGATTTCCTTGCTCACTGAGTACATTTACCGCTTTCTGTATTTTCCTTGTTAATTTATTTTGATGCAATTTAAATTCAGCAATTTTATGTTTCTGTATTTTCAATTCCTTGTCCATTTCAATTCAATGAAAGTTTAAGTTTCTGTATTTTCGATTTATCGTCATTTACATTTCCTGCACATTTCGATTTCCTGCCATTTACATTTGCGCTATTTTTCGATTCCTTGTCATTTACAATTAATGCAAGTTTGGGGTTTTCGCACTTTACATTTCCTCGCAATTTAATATTCTGTTTTTTCGATTCGATACTTTATTGTTTTCGATATTTCAAAGACAACACCAAAAACAGTTTTCTTGATCTTATGATTTTCGATTCTCATATACGTTTTCGATTGAAAGTCAGACTGCTAGCCTAAGTAAAAAGAACTTACGTGGTAGATTTTTGATTAGGACCAAAACACCCTTAGAATCGAAATCGATCAAAATTCCACCAGAAACAAATTGGCGCGCCAGGTAGGGGAGTCTTGTGTTGAGAAACACAAAATTGGTTAGTTCGAAATTGTATGAGATTGAGGAGTGGAAGAGTCATGAGTCAGAGTTCATCAAATAATCAAGGTAACAGTGAGGGATTAAATGGGTCACACCCACCAAATACTGGGGGGCAAAGTCATAATGGGAACATACCTGTAGTATCGACAACTGTGAGTATGTCGATACCTGTGAATAGTGAACAAAATTCAGGTACATTAGCAAACACCCAAGTAGGATCTAGTACGGTGATACCAAATAATATGCAAACTATAGGAAATCCCACAACCACATATGTAGGGCCACGTATGAGTATAAGACCACCCGGATTTTCACTTAATAATGTGAGTGGGGCTGGAACTTCTTCAACGCATAGGAATTCGAGATATAACTTAGGAATGTCCCAAACACTAGGTATGCCACAAAATTTTGGAATCCCTCCAAATTTAGGGACGTCGCAAAACTTAGTAATTCCCTGAATTCGTGGAACTGGACGTAATGTAGGCACACAACAGATGCCTCCAAATCTAGATCATAGGGGAAACTTAGATCATGGGAGATATGTATTCGATAGAGACTATCATCGATCTAATTTTGATTCTATCGAAAACATAAGTACCTGAATATCTAGTAATTCATTAGGGGTACTTAGACAGCAAATGGATGAGAGTAATTTTGAAATGGTGAACATGTTATCACAACAATTGACTACAGTCTTAAGTCCATTAGTGCAAAACACTACTGCTAGTTTCGAGATATTAGCAGACCAAATGTCACGAATCGGGGATGCATTGGATGTGCCTCGACGAACAAGGGTAGAAAATCATGCTAACCAGAATACTAATATTAATCCCCCATATCTATTGAGAAGAAATAGAGACAATGATCAACAGCAGCGTATGGGACATGAGTATCAACATGAGAGGAATGATATTTATGGGAATTTGAACGAAGGATTTCAAAATATACACAATCAGAATAATATGTTAGGACAAAGGGTGAATTTACAAGGGATGGAATTTAGACCACCTAATCAGACATATTTTGTATCTCCCTTTCCGAATGCGATTCTCGAGACAGAATTGCCTCGGGGATATAAAGTACCCAAATTCACCAAATTTGCTGGAGAAGTTGGTGAATCGACTATCGAGCATGTAGCTCGATATCAGATTGAATGTGGAGACCTAGCGATGAGTGAGGAATTGAAAATGAAATATTTCCCGAGTTCTTTGACTAAGAATGCTTTTACTTGGTTCACGTCATTGCCACCTAATTCGATATATAATTGGCTGCAATTGGAAAGACATTTTCATGAACAATTCTTTAGAGGGGAAACTCAAGTGAGTCTCATCGACTTGATGAATATAAAAAGATACAATCATGAAAGCATAGATGATTATTTGAATAGATTTAGACAAATGAAATCGAGATGTTTCACTTAAATTCCCGAATATGAATTAGTCGAATGGCATCTCGCAGGTTTAGAATTCTCGATTAGGAAAAAACTGGTCAATTTACCATTAAATGACATGGCTCAATTAGCTGATAAAGTAAGAAGAGTGGAACAAATCGAGTATGAGAAACAAAGATATAAGAAATATGAGAAACCTCTAAAAAAGGAAAGAATAGCATACATAAATGATGTATATGAGACAGATAATATGACAGAAAATGATATTGAAGAAACTGTCGATGAGAAAGTAAACTTGGCAGAACTCAAAGTGGGGGTTCCATATACCTGTAAATTGCTACAAAAGAATGAAGTAAAAGATAAAATGGCAAATCGAACATATACTTTTGATGTAACAAAAGCAGACAAAATCTTTGATATTTTATTGAAAGACAAACAGATTAAGTTGAGTGATGATCATAAACTGCCGTCTGCAGAACAAAGGAATGGTCGAAAATATTGCAAATTTCATAATATTTATGGACATTGGACTAACAATTGTATACATTTCAGGAACACCATCCAAGATGCGATCGACCAAGGAAGGTTGAAGTTCGAAGAAATGACAATGAAAGTTGACACGAGCCCTTTCGAGGCTCAAGTAGGATACCTCGAATCCCAAACAGGCATTACTGATGATGTCCGATTAACACATTCAGCCTTCATAGGCATGGTAGATGTCACTGAAGACATCAATCCTAAGCATGTTAGGATGGATGT